TTTAATATTTTATAATATTATTGAAAACTTATAATTTTAATTTCTATAATTTTATCTTACTTTTTATTTTATAAGTATAATTTAGATTATTTATTTTATAATTAAATTAATTTTTTTAAAATCTTTTATAAATTTATATAAAAAAATATAATCTTTAAGAGTACGGTAACAACTCCTATATAAATACCCAAATTTTACTTTCAACAGATATGGGAGGGAGGGAACATAAAACCCCCACCTCCTCCCGTTATCATGCCTATGAAGATTTAAATAAACCTACTATTCCTAAAACAAGAGAGGGTTGGCACGTGATAGACTTCGAAAAATTCAAATCGCCACACAAGAGAGAGATCTTCCTATGAGATGTCATCCCACCAGGGCCACCACCCTTCATAAATATAATTACTCATAATAATGTTTAAGGTATTTGCTGTTTTATTTTATTCTCTTTTAGATTAGTGAAAGAATGTTATATAATATATACAATTCTAGCTTTTAATGATTTATTTTAGGTTAAAAACCTAATTTGGTCTCTTATAATATTTTTTATTTTAATTTAGTTCCATTTTAATTTTTTATTTCAATTTAGTCCCTAATAATTTAAATTAGTGCAATGTCGGACTTCCATCCAAATTATTTAAACGAAGTTAACTGTTGGCCACATGGATGTCACGTAGATGCATAGGTGGATGACAAATTTTTTTAATACATCTGGAACCAGAACGGGCCGTTCTGGTTCCAGAATGCCAAACACAAACGGTCAATGATTATAGTTCATGCCCGTGATTCTAAATCACGGTTGTGAATCGTGCAAGGAAAAAGATCTAAGGTACAAAACATTTCAAACACTGGATTTGGTAATATTGTCAATGGGGATTGATAACTTCAATTGCTAAACATTTGGGCTATCATTAAGGACAATGCAGTGTATCACTAATGATAATGGTGACAGGTTTTATTTCATTGTTAGTCAAACTAGAGTAAACCACTTACTACCAAATCGATACTATACAGTCAAGGATGAAACAATATGGTGTTTTCCCTTGAAATCATTGGCCGATGTACCCCAACAACAACAACCTGTTCTTAAGGAGGTACAACCTGAAGTAGAGGAAGAGGACACACAGGACCAACAACGTTATCCAGATGATTTCCCTTCTTAGTAATTTCTTTAAACTTTCTTAGTATATGTTATATTATAAATTTTTGTTTTCAGTCTCTGAACCATATTTCTGTCTTTGAATTTATGTTATGTTATGAATTTTTATTTTCAATATTTGAACCACTTACATTTTGTTGAACGTACGTATGTGGTTGACGTTTTAGAAAGGCCCGTTCTGAATCCAGAACGGGCCGTTCTAGTTTTAGAACGGACCATTCTGGATTCAGAACGACCCGTTCTGCTGCACTTGTGGTGTGTTAATTTTGCATCTAGAACGGCCCGCTCCAGATGCAAAAATTAACACACAACATGTGCAACCAGAACGGGCCGTTCTGGTTCCAGGTGCATTAAAGAAATTTGGCATTCACCTATGTATCTACGTGACATCCATGTGACCAACAATTAATTCTGTTTAAATAATTTGGTCGGAAGTCCGACATTGCACTAATTTAAATTATTAAGGACCAAATTGAAACAAAAAATTAAAGTAAGACTAAATTGAAAAAAAAAATATTATAAAGGACCGAATTAAGTTTTTAACCTTCTTTTATATTATCAAAGAATGTTTATATAATATCTTTTGATATTTAAGTGAATGTTTGGATCGGTATCAATGCCTTACGGTTTTTTTTTCTAAAATATGAAATTGATGGAAAAATAAATATTGTTGACTTTATATTGATTCACGTACCGATGTGTCTAACGTGAAAGCAATTAGGCACTAAATGTATCCATGACTCTTTCGAATGATATTTACTTTTATTACCAACAACGAATCTTTTATAAGACTTATCTTGAAACATAGTCAAAGGCAACCTGGTGCTCCTAAAATTGATTATTATCAATGTTAAAATTATATTTGATTAGTAAAAATTATTTTTGATAAATATAAATTGGTTTTTAGTTAATAATTTTAAAACATTATGTGAATCATATATGTGGATAAGAAAAAAATTAAGAAAATAAATTATAAGATACTAGTAAGAAAAAAACATATATATTTAGTTTTTAGGAATTTTGAGAAAAGATTATCGTAATAAAAATAAAAAAATTATTACACTTTAAAAATAGGTAACATTAATGTTTTTTTTTTAATTTTATTTTAGAGAGTAGGTAGTTCTTAAAATTATAAGATGTGTAACATAAATTTAAGGATAAAATTATCTAGATAAAAATGAAAATACAAAATATAATTACTTAAAAATATCCCTTATAATATTTACAGATTTAGATATAAATACTTATGTTAATTTCGACGTTTATTATAAATGTATGATATATAAATTTGAATTGAAATTTAGCTCAATCTTATTACTGATGCGATTAAGAATTTTAGGATTCACATTGTACATATATAATAAATTTTAAAAATTAAGAAGTTTGCATCATGACTTCTAAAAAAATAAAAATAAAAATAAAATTGTACATAGAAAGATTGTATCATGACTTCTAAAAAAGTCACAGTTACGACTTCTACATTCTATTAATATAAAATAAATTATGAGTCCTGTTTATAATTTACGAGGTCTAAATTTTTGTAAATTTATTCAAAATTTACACAACTTTGGTAATTCTGTTTCAAAACTACCTCACATGAGTAAAAGGAATTGTAGGCCGTTACGTTAGCTTGAACTTAAAACATTATTTATTTATTAAAATTAAATAAAAATGAATGAGAGTACTACTTTGGAGTAACACCGATAAATTGATTAAATAGTGACAACAACAACAACCAAACTTTGGGAACAAAATTAATGTGATGGAAGACTTGAAAAAACAATAGATTGTTGTGAATTACATATCTGAACTGACATAGATCAAACAATAGAAAAACAAACTAATAATGGACTACGGTGAATGCAAAATTTTGGGAAAAGAATAAAGCAAATATAGTCAAGGGTGGAGATTGGATGGACGGTGGAGTTAGAACAGATAGTGAAGGCTCCTTATTTAATTAGTTTAGCATAGAGACTACGCAGCCATGATTTTGTGACGCTTGTTGGATTCTTGGGCAATGATTTCCCTGTGTGCATCCAATGCAGTGTTTGTGTTCTTCACTCCAATATCAACCAACCCCTTCTTCTCTTCCTTAATGTTGTTGTTGTTGTTGTTGATCACTTTGTGGGGATGTTCTTTTTCGAGTTCATGCAACACGTTGTGTATGTCAAACACAAGGCGTTCAGCAAGGGTACGTGAAAACTCTGCTCTAATGACCACACGAAGCACATTGATGTGCTGAGCCGCAGGTGGCATTGGATATGCTGGCACGATCCAACCGTGGCGCCGCAACATCTCTGATATCTTGTACTCATCGAATTCGCTTCTGTCTTTCAAGGAAAATGCCACCACTGGAACACCATTGTCTTTTGAGAGTATGTGGAACCGTCCACTCTTCTCCAAATGTTTCTTCACCACCATTGCGTTTTCTCTGCAGTTCTCCATTATGCTACGGTACCCCTAGTAATTAAGTCCAATAACGTTGTTATTTGTTATCAAACAATGTGGTCATAAATATTACAATGCTTATTTTTTAACTGTAAGCTTACCTCTTGGCCGAGGCGAATTAGCTGATAATATTGAGCAATTATCTGACTAGAACCTGCAAGTGGATACAATATTAATAACATAAGTATATGGTATGAATAGGTAATAAAGGACCAAGAAATTTACAATGTTTGAAATGAATGAATCACCTTTAGAGAAATTGAGGGTGAAGGTGGGTTGGTCAGCACCAAGGTAATTAATATGGAAGACAAGGTCTTCTGGCAAGTCATCCTTGGTCCTCCATATGACCCAACCAATTCCAGCATAAACAAGACCATACTTGTGGCCACTAACATTTATGCTCTTCACCAATGGGAGTCTGAAATCCCATTCTAGTTCTGGATAAAGGAATGGAGCAATAAAGCCACCACTAGCAGCATCCACATGAATAGGTGTATCCCATCTATGTAATATGACAAGTAAATTAAGCAAATTAATTAGTTCAGATTCAGGGTAAAGGAAAGCTATGTAAAAGAATTTGAATAGGTCAAAAGATCTAATTAGTGCAATATTACTCACCCAGTTTGCTTGTTTTTCTCTAGAAGTAGATCATTTAGGAGCTTCACATCTTCGAACTCTCCGTTGTAAGTTGAACCCAAGATTGCAGCCACACAAATAGTGTTCTCATCAACCAGCTCAACGGCTTTGGCAGGGTCCATCACGTAGTACCCTTCCCTCACCTCCACTTCCCTTAACTCCACCTCAAAATACCTTGCAAACTTCTCCCAACATACCTACATAATATACATTATTATGCAAAACGCATGAGTTATAATTATGTGGCATAAAATAATTATAAGTTAAAGGTGGCTGAATATGAGTAGTAGACGCGTAATTAATCCATGTGACATAATGCTACGTTCTAAAATATGTGACAATGATAAAAGTTTAACCACGGGAACTAGAAATGAATTATAAATATATACCTGGACATTGGAACCAGTGACCAAATTGGGCTTATCACAAGGCTTTCCCTCTGCCTTGCGTTTGTTCTGCCACTTCTTCTTGAATGCAAGCCCTGCCAGCATTATGGCCTCTGATGATCCAACAGTTCCTGCTCCAATTGCATTCTCATTTTCTCCAACTTCAGCATGGAACAAACGTGCTATCATGTTCACGCACCGATTCTGTTAATTTCATAAATTAAAGTACAGCATCAGTGATGAAAAAAAAAAATTAGGCAGGGATGAAACAGAACAAAAATAATAACATCTCTTTGATATCTCAATTCTAAAGAAGATTGAAAAGGAAAATTCATTGTTTCATAAATAGATATATATGAGAAGAAGATGAGGACGTACGTGAAGGTCAGTGGTGGCAGGATACTCGTCCATGTCGACATAGTTTTTGTTGATCGATTCCATAATAAGTTTGTTGCACTCTTCTTCCATGGAGGTGGTGACAAAGGAAGCTAAGTTAAGCTTTGGAATGGCATCAAGCTGCAACTCATCGTGAATGTTCTGGTAGGCAGCCTCCTTAGGCATGGAGTTCTCGGGCATGCACCACCTGCATCACCAAAACAACAACACTTGATTAATTAGTTAAAAAAGGAAGAGACGTGATAGTATGATACAAGGATAAAAAGAAAAACGCAATATACCTGGGAAGAGAGTCGGTGGCATAACGAGAAGCAAAATTGGAATGAAGAAAGAGGTCAGATTCAGAAGGAGGTTTTGGAAAAACCATGGTGAAGCGTGTGATAATAATATGTCGCTGATATTAAAGACAGGAAAGAGAGAATAGTAAGGTATGGTTTGTTTGTTTGATGAGGATAGAGGATAGAGGTTGTGGTATTTATACGAGGTGATGATGATGATGGTGGGTAAGTAAGTTAGAAGGGGAGAATCGTTCTTGGCTTCCGAATTTTCTCAATGCAGACTTTCAAACTGCATGCGTTCATATCTTTCGCATTATTTTAACGTTCTACTTCTAGACAAAGGAAACTACTTACAATGCGCCTTCTTCTATTTTTATATTTTGGGCCCCTCCACTCCACCGGTTTTATTTTCACACGTAGCAAACTATTTTACTAGCCTTTGCTAAATTTTTTTTTTTAAAATTCTGAAATGGGTAACTTTTTAAAAAATAAGGCATCTTGATGGAGACAACTCATTTGAGTTGTTTCGTGCATTGAAAAATGAAAAAAGTGGTCCCTAGCATATTATGTCAGCATTAAGCAACTCAAACACAAAATTATTTCAATAATAAAAAATTTTAAGAAATTCAACTTTTAGAATTTTATTTCTAATCATTTATAAATCAAATTTAAATTTTTATTAAAAAAATAATTACATTACAATGAAAGAAAATAAGCTACGAGAAAAAATACATAATAAGTAGATATTAAAAATAAAATAAAACAAAACAATAGTAAATACATAAATAGGTTAAAACCCTTATTTGGTCCCGTATAATATTTTTTTTTCAATTTAGTCCCACTTTAATTTTTTGTTTCAATTTGGTCTCAATAATTTAAATTATTGCAATTTGGAACTTCCGTCCAAATGATTTAAACGGAGTTAACTGTTGGTCACGTGGATGCCAGGTGGATGCCACGTAGATGCAAAGGTGGATGCCAAATTTCATGAATACACGTAGAACCAGAACAGCCCGTTCTGAAACCAGAACGGCCCGTTCTGCTTGCACATGTTATGTGTTAATTTTGCAACTGGAACGGGCCGTTCCAAATGCAAATTTAACACAACATGAGTGCATCAGAACGGACCGTTCTGAAACCAGAACGGGTCGTTGTGCTGTTAGAACGGGTCGTTCTGGATTCAGAACGGCCCGTTTCCAGAACGCCAACTTCATGCTTTTTATTGTATTTTTTTTTTCATTGTATATATATTAATAAAAATACAATAAATAAAAAATACAATAAATTAATATTCATTTATGAATAAAACTAAAAAAAAATAAAAATAAGACCTTCCAAAATTCTTCTTTGATTTGAACTTATCTAGTTTAAAATCTTGACCAAAATGTCGCAATGTGATTCAAAAATTGAAAATAAAAATTCATAACATATCATAAATTCAAAGACAGAAACATTGTTCAGAAACTGAAAACAAAAATTCAGAACATAACATATACTAAAAAAGTTCAAAGAAATTACTGAGAATGCACATGAAATAACATATACTGAAAAAGTTCAAAAATTCATCATTGACTGTATAGTGTCAATTTAGTATTAAGTGGTTCACTCCAGTTTGACTAACAATCAAATAAAACCTGCTACCATTGTCCTTAGTGTTATACTACATCGTCCTTAATGATACACTGTATAGCCTAAATGTTTAACAATTGAAGTTACAATCCCCATTGACAATATTACCAAATCTAGTGTTTGAAATGCTTTGTACCCTTTTTTTTCGCACAACTATGAAATTCTAGAACTAGAACGGCCCATTCTGAAACCAGAACGGCCCGTTCTAGTTGCATTCTTGGTGTGTAAATTTTGTACCTAGAACGGCCCGTTCCAGGTACAAAATTTACACACCAAGAGTGTAACAAGAACGGCCTGTTCTAGTTCCAGGTGTATTCAAGAAATTTGGGATCCATCTACGTGGCATCTACGTGGCCACCAGTTAACTCTGTTTAAATCATTTGGACCAAAGTCTCAACTTGTAATAATTTAAATTATTGGGGACCAAATTGAAACCAAAATTAAAGTGAGACTAAATTGAAACAAAAAAATATTATGAGGGACCAAATAAGGGTTTTAACCTACATAAATATTATACGAAATTAATTTTCATCATTATTATTTCTGAAATGTTCCAAATATGTTTAATAAGATCTACTTGAAATCTGGTAAGGAACGGTTGTTTGAGGAAACAACTCTCTTTCTTCTTCAAACAACTCATGTTGCCACATTAGAGTTCTCTAATGGCAAGAAACCAGGGCTTGAGTTGCTTCATGGGACAAACAACTCTCATTAGAGCTGCTCTAATATATTTTCATATTATTATTTAATGAAATATTTATAATATAATAAATTTTGTTAATAAATTAGTATTTTAAAAGTAAATAATAATAATATTTAGAATAAATATTTAAAGAAAAATTGAATTGATTGAAAATCATGTAAACACAACCTATGGTCTCACAGAAACAGGTGAGGCTGAGGCCCATGGAATCCGCCAGCAGTAAACCAGAATAAAGATGGTTTACATTTTACACCAAATAAGTGTACATGTGAAAATGTGTTTTCTATAATCAAAATCGATATAGGGTTAGTTTTTCTTTTTCCCATTTACATGTGCATCTTCTGTTTTGGCTATAGAAGATTTGTGATGTATTATTGAAAGAGGGTTGTTTAAAGCTCAAGGTTTTGTTCCAAACATGCCCGAGACTCTGTTTTCCCTTCTTTCATGAATCATCATATTATCTTTATTCACAACCGTAAACATGCAAGATGCAACTATAAACCGTCATAAACCTTAGTCAACTCCTTAAAAAACTTTACACTAGTGTAGGGGATTAATTTTTAATTAATTATCATATCTCATTTATAGATCATAACAAAGTCCACAAAATTCAATGGACCCGGTTACAGTTTACTTTACAAGCTGGACTGATAGTTATTATTTTATTCTTAAGAAAAGGCTTCAAGATAATTTAGAGATAAATTTAAAATGATTTTACTAATTGTCGTCCTTGCAATCGTTGTACTTAAAATAACGATTAAGGAGTTAAATGTAAATGATTTTTTATTAAAATAAATATTTCTAATATATATGATATATCTGTTGTTTTCTGATAAATTTTTATGTATTAATTCATTAATCGTTAAAGTTTCTTAAAATTAGTGTGCTTGCGAAACGTTGAAGTCAATAGTGAGGTTGAAGAATAAATTAGAAAAGGAAAGCTTCAATAAGAAGAATTAAGAGTGATATTAATCATCCATAAAAAAAAAATAAAATAATCTCGTTTATAAATGTAAGCATTGTCATTATTTTAATCCCCAGAATGTTATTTTTGTTACTTAAGTCATTTAATAATGCAAGACATTATTAACTTTGTAATCCAATTATATAAAATGTTAGTATTAATTAAGTTGATTATTTAGGGAGACTTTTACCACACTCATTTTATTCAATCTGACAAAAAGAAAGATACGTATCTTTCACATCCAATTGAGATTAAAAAAATTGCTCATGAATCATGATCACGGTTCACCAACACTTTTCACTTGTATAATTAATGTCCCTTGTACAAAAGCACGTACAAACAAGGACTTGGTTTGGCTTATGCCGTGACAAAGGGGACAAGTGTATGAGAAGAGAAACGAGAACTAGGCAAAAAAGTCAGAAGGAAACATTTTTCATCATGGTTCAGCATTCAACATTTGAACTTAGACAAATAAGAATCAAATTTTGTTATTAACATGGTTACTGTTTCATTATAAGTAACCTTCAAATGGTTCAAAGGGTAAACGGGTCGTGACATATGTCAAAAGAAGTGGCTGAATCAATAAATACATTCTGGTTTTTGGAGACCCTCTACTTCTCCTTTGTTACTAACTCCTCTAATTTTATTTTTTTGACATGGACCAAGTCCCCATAGGAATTACGTACTGAACCGCGTAATATAAATAGTATACAATAGTACATTCTTTTAACAAGTTTAGATCCGTTTTAAATTTTGGCAAATTAAATTGATCATAATAGCATATTTATGTGTACATATTTTGAACAAACCATTGACCAAATGGGGTATTCAAGGTCAGCTATGGGGTCATATTCATGTCTTTAAGCTAGCCATATCCCTTTATATTTACAATGAAAAGTTCAGCAGCAGAAGAAGAAGGTGAAACGGTCAACGTTCACACGCTTCAACCTTACATCTTGACTCATTAAGAATTCACTGAATATAATATGGTTTATATGTCCAAGTGTTAGCATTTCAGTGGAAGATGGAACTACGTATTTTGTCTGCCACAACACGTCAGCACAACTTTAATGAAAACATTCTTAAATTTTCACTTAAAGAAAAACGTTTTTCTTTTGAGAATGAACAAGGTTTTGGAAATTTTGGTCCGTAAAAGTAAGCGTTTGGCTCCACGAGACAGGCAAGCGTTGAGACACTTCGCATGTTTTCATTGTCTTGGGTTAATGGGTACAGGGTTTGTCTAGAGAAAAATTGTAAGACTCTTATTTATTTAAAATAATTTAAATTAAACTAATTTTGCATCAATGACTAGACCAATAATGTTGAATTTGAATCTACTATTTCGTTCATAGGAATCCACAATATATATAAAACGATTCACAACAATTCAAGCATGCCCCCATTAACTCAACTAATACAAGTGTTCATAGATTGAATTTTTGAAAAATTTAAATTGAATTGAATTGGTCCATTTTATAAAAATAAATCAGTAAATTAATCCATTTTTTATAAAATAAATTAATTTAAATAAATTGAATAACTAAATCAATTTTATAAAATGGGTTGATTTGATTTTTTTTTATAAAATGAATCATATTTTTTAATATAAATGAGATCGATTATAGATTAATTCGGTTGGATTTGAATTTTTTTCATGCCTCTACAACTAGAAGCTTAGATCCCTTTATTAAATTTGAACCTTATAAATATAATTAATTAATATTTCATGGAGAGAGTTTTATTACTCTTAAATAATATTTGATCTAATTTATTTTAGATTTAATCTTCTTAAA